GAAGGAAAATGACAATAGCAAATATACAAAGCTAATTCTCATTTTCGCTACAATTTATTCCTCCTTAAAAGATGCTGTTCCTTGTACATAGCAGTATTGTATTCTATAGGGCAGATTCTTTTTCCAATAATACATATTATCTCTCTTTACAATATTACACATTTCAAGAATTCAGAAAGATGTCAACTTCATATTAAACCAATTTTAAATACTGGACAAAGTTATTATCCTTATCTTTCTCCCTATTTTTCTATTTCTAACCTCAGGACAATCCATAGCTCCTTTGCCTCTACCATAAGACTAAAAGACTAAGAAAGTCCATTTTAATAAATGTCTCATGAAAGTATAAATATTTTTGTTATTTAAATACTTATTTCAGTTTAAGGAGAAAGCTCAGGAAGGAAGGTAGCTAAAAAAAAAATGTGAACAGAAAGAAGGAAATCTGAATACAGCAGTTACAGAAGTGATTTTAGAGGATAAAAGCCAAGGCAAGGCTCTAGCAAAGGACAGGGCACAGTAAAGGTGGTACCACAAGTCAGGGATTCAGAGAAAATGACATGTCTCCAATCACCCAACCATCAGGGATGTCAGAGTAGAAAATCTGTCAGAAGAAGCAAAACAGAGAGTTTTCTTAAAAATAAAAAAGGGGGGGAGGGGAGAGAGAAAGGGAGATATCTATGGACAGATGTCAAACAACAGTGGGATTGTATTATTAATAAAGCAAAGATATATAATATGCACACTTGGCTACCATTTGTATCATGAAGAAAATGAGGGATATATGCATAGAAGGTCTCTGGAAGACACAAACCATGTAGCAGTGGTTGCCTGAGAAAAGAGAAACTTATTTTTATGTATCATTTTGTACTTCTTTATTTTTTTTAAACCACAAGCACAATTTAAAAAAAAAAATCTATTCAAATTAATTTACAAGTCAAGCACACTGAAATAAAGAGCTGTCAGAGGTAAAGAAGGATTTGTAATTTAAAGTCAGGGGGAAAAAAGACCAAAGCAAAAGCTGAAATGTGAGGCAAAAAGAATGGGTCACAATTGGTCAAGCAGTCAGTAGTACAGCACACATGGGGTTGGGTGGACCTAAAAAATGAGTCAACTCCTTCCTCAGCCTTTTATGAACTTCCAGCTTGGGTAGGAATAAATACCAGGTCACGGACAGCCCAGTGTAGGCAGGAGAAGGTGAGTCACTTAAATAGAGATGATACCATAGCTGGAAATAATTATCTGAGCTTGAAGATAAAGGTACAATAGATATCCTAATATGACTACTGCCAACCTGACTTAGCCTCTGTAGGGTTGACAAGAACAAAAGCAAGGACTTCACAGTTTTATCTTCAAATATCTGTCAAGATATATACCACCACCATGATAGTTCTTTAAACGCAATGTGTGTGACCCAGCTTATTAGAAAGAGATGAGTTACTCAATGTAGGCTTATAAGTAGAGGAACTGGGAAGAACTTGGAAATCTCAGGTAGGAAGGGATCTCAATCTCTTCAAACTTCCATTTCACCTCCCAAGGTTTTAGTCAGACAGTAGCTTGAACACGTCAGTGCTAAAGAAGAGCTACCTCAATAAACTTTAATTATCCAGATATGTAAGAGATTATCTTGAAGAAATTAAAATTGCTTAGCTATAAGATACATTAATAAAGTAAAAAATTCCTTCTATTTGTTTTTAATACCATATTTTCCAGCATATAAGACGACCCCCTAATTTTACAGTTAAAACATAGATTTAGGCCTATAGTCACTGTATAAGACTACCCCCCACTTCCGAGGCAATACCAGTTCTTTTTTTAATAGACCGCCTCTCTAACTCAGCCAATCCAAGCAGGCTTTTTATGCATGCAAATTATACATGTTCTGTACCAGAAGCTACACTGTGTTCTAGTAAAAAGCCTGCTCAGATTGGCCAGAGTCAGAGAGGCAGTCTATTAAAAAAAGACTTGGTGTTGCCTCGGAAGTGGGGGGTAGTCTTATACAGCGAATATAGGCCTAAACCTATGGTTTAACTGTAAAATTAGGGGGTCGTCTTATTCGCCGGAAAATACGGTATGTTTTTATTTATTTCAGAGAGGAAGGGAGAAAGATCAATGATGACAGAGAACCATTGATTGGCTGCCTCCTGCACATCCCCAAATGGTTATCGAGCCCCCAACCCAGGCATGTGTCCTTGACTAGAATCAAACATGGGACCCTTCAGTCTGCAGGCTGACACTCTATCCACTGATCCAAACCAGTTAGGGCTGAGAAATTCCTTTTTAAATTCATAGTTTCCTTATACCAGTCAGCATATTTCTAAATCACCTCTAAATTAAATTACTGGGTAAAGAACTAAAATTATAGTATTTTCACAATTTACCTAAATAAAAAAATAACTGAGAAGGCAAATCTGTTGGGGATATTTTATTTTCTTATATATTTTTATTGATTTCAGAGAGGAAGAGAGAGGGAGAGAGAGAAATAGAACATCAATGATGAGAGAAAAATCATTGATCGGCTGCCTCCTGCATGCCCACTCTAGGGATTGAATCCCCAATAGGGGCATGTGCCCTGTTGGCAATCGAATTGTGATCTGTTTCATAGGTTGATTAATGCTCAGTCACTGAGCCACACCAGCCGGGATGCTGGGGACAATTTAAAAGGAACATACTACAACTTTCAGTCACTTTTCTTTAGCTTAAACCAGTGGTTTCCAACCTTTTCTTGGCCATGCCCCACCTAAGCTTCTCTAAAATCCTGATGTCCCCCCTCTATGACATATAATTCTTATTAAAAGTGAACTCCTTTTTGAGTAATAAGGAACACGGCACCCATGAAAGAGAAAAATAAAACGAAAGGACAGTTTAAGTACTGAGGAAGAAATCACTAAGAAATTGTTAATTAAAAAAAAAAAAGTAAAAACATGAAGTGATATGAAAAAATAGCAAATAAAGTTTCAAAACATAATAGAGAACTAAAATGTATAAATATGTCACAATATATATTTACATACTGTGTATGAGGCCCCTAGAACCATAAGAAATGCAAAAAATTCACTGTTAATAACTCATTCTCAAACTGCCCCCCTTAAAAATCAAATTGCCCCCAGTGGGGCATCTGCCCCACATTGGGAACCACTGACTTAGACAGTAAAGAAATGGCAAATACAGAAAACAGATATGACCACAGTTCAACAAGAAAACAAATAATTTCATTTTATATATTCATCTTTCAAAGTTAAAAAATATATACTTTTTGAGTACAGGATCTTGCTAAAAAGGTATATTTTACAGGACAAAGCATTTATGAATGAACCAATTCTAACTTCTTAATCAAATAACACTATAAAACTGAAGTAGTAGAAAACAACCTTATTAATTCCATATTATGAATTTTTAAATAGTGTGAAATGCTACTACCTTCATTTCCATGATAAAAGAACAAAAAAAATTATCGTTATACTAAAAGTAGCTAACAGAAACTCTTACTATAAACAGAAACTAACCATTCTGTTATGCCAGAAATATATTTAAATCTAGTCCCTAATAACTACAATTTTTTTATAAAAATATATTTTATTGATTTTTTACAGAGAGGAAGAGAGAGTTAGAAACATTGATGAGAGAAAATCATCGATCAGCTGCCTCTTGCACCAACCTCACCGAGATGTGCCCGCAACCGAGGTACATGCCCTTGACCGGAATCGAACCCAGGACCTTTCAGTCCGCAGGCTGACACTCTATCCACTGAGCCAAACCGGTCTCGGCAATAACTATATACAATTTTAATTGTATTTACCATAGGAGAATTTAGCCTATCAATTATTATTAGCCAAGGGTAATTATCAAAAGTAAAAAACAACAACAAAAAACACCCTAGGTTATACCACCAACCAACCTGAGCACAGACATATGGTATATACACAATATTTACTGAATTAAATATACATAAAAGCAATACCAGGAGGACTATAGATGAAAAGTATAATGGATCTTAAAGATATCCATTAAAGAAAAAAAACTTTTTAGATTAAGAAACAATTTATTTCTTAGAATCCTAAAATAAACTAAATATATGCATTTTTCCTAACAATGTTTTAAAAACAAGTACATCAAAAAATTTCTCATCGATACAAAACATGTGGTTGCACAAAAATTATCTTTTTGAATCTCAGTATATTTTCATTAAGATAAATAATAATGTAAGTTAATATTTACCTTAATAATTTCATTATGATAAATAAATAACAAAAGATAATCCTTCAAGTCTCCATCAGTTTGCTTGTTCATATTTGACTCAACAGTCTACAATGTCAGAAAGCCAAATCCACTTGAGGTGAACAAGTGAATCATTAAGAATCAAAACAAGTTGAGATCTTACTGATAAATAGATTTCAATCATTTATATGTAGTAAGCATCATCTCCTTAAAGCACTGAACTACAACTACACAATACACTTATGTATCTAATTATAATCTAATGGGAGGAAAAAAAACTAAACAAATGTAACTGACTTAATTTAGCCATTTTGTGCTCTATTACAGATATTCAAACTCTATACACTCCAGGGTTACACAGAAGGTGAGTCACAGAGATGATAAAGTAATTAATCTAGGACAAGTGACATCTCAGACACTGTAAGTAAATAACCCACTCTTCTAAAATTTATAAAAACCCAATTACTACTGCCCTTTGAGAGTTTATAAGGAACATGTCAAAAAATAACAATGAATCTTTTATCAGCAGTTATACAACATAATATATTCCTTTAAACCATACTTTATTTTAAATAAACCATAAGTTTATTTTTTAAATAAATATGTAATATATAGTACTGAAAAAGAATCTCTAGGTCACATATTAATTCATCCACTTAAAAAATACATTAAAATATATTATAAAAGTGTATACATTTTAACTTAAAAAAATATTTCTAAAGATTTCTAGGTAGTTTTTAACTACTGTGTGAAGACTGAAAAAATACATCCTAAATCATTCATACCTGATCGAAAGCACTCAATTATTTGTTGAATACCAGATTTGGATGTCTGTAGTGGTTGCTGTAACAAAGGAGCATCTCCAGGTTCCAGGATATAAACTACATGAAAGACAAACACCCACCCCAATCCCCACAAAAAAGGGTTATTTAAATCATTTACTATTGAAGTAAAACAATGGTTTGCTACAATCATGTAAAAGACAATCACACTTGTATATATTTCATCATCATCTTTGTAAGAGAAAATGGGGGAAAATAACTAAAACCATTCTTAATTTAAAGCTAAAATAAGATTACCTAAAGCTAGATAATAAGCTTAAATGCAAAGATTGTCCTATCTTGGTATTATTTAATACATATTTAGCATGTTTGCCTTTTTATTGTCCTTAAGAGGAACCACTATATTTAACCAAAGTTTTAGGGCAATGATGGCCTAACCACACCTCATAAACCATTCCAAAACCCCCTGGACAATCTAGCACAGCTCTATGGGCAACTGTGAGAGCAAAATTCAATAAACACTGCCTAACGAAAGAACTGGTCACAATGACAGATGTATAAGAATGTTCACTGCACGATGAGTGATTAAAAAAAACAACTGTGGTACATTTATACCATGGAATACTATGCAGCAGTAAAAAAGAAGAATCTCTTACCCTTTGAGATAGTATGAGGGACCTGGAGAGTATCATGCTAAGTGAAATAAGTCAGAAAAAGATAAGTATCACATGATCACACTCATATGTGGAATATAAGTAATAAAATAAACTGATGGAGTGGATCCAAAGACCCGAAGCATGGAACAGAGTGCAGAATCTCAGAGGAAAGGCGGGGGAAGTGAGTGAGTAGAAGGTAATCAACCAAAAACCTTGTACGCATATATGCATAACTCATGGACATGGGGGTTGGGGGTTCAGAGGAGTCATTGGGGGGGAAATGGGGTATATGTAATACTTTTAACGATTATTTTTAAAAATAAATTTAAAAAAAGAATGTTCATTGCAATGAACAGAGTGCTGTTCATTGCAGCACTCTGTAGCACTGTAAATAATTGAGAAAAATTTCAACAACTTAAGAGTCTCAAAAAGAACCAGACTAAGTAAATATACACCCATACATCAGAATCTGATTACTGTTAGAAAGCATGAGCTAGATCTACATATACTGACAACAAAGGATATCAATAGATTATTAAGCAATAAAAAACGGGTTATAGAATATCTCATTTATATTAATATTCATTTTTTTAAAAATATATTTTATTGATTTTTTTACAGAGAGGAAGGGAAACGTCGATGAGAGAGAAACATCGACCAGCTGCCTCTTGTACAGCCCCTACCAGGGATGTGCCCGCAACCAATGTACATGCCCTTGACCAGAATCGAATCTGGGACCTTTCAGTCCGCAGACCGAAGCTCTACCACTTAGTCAAACCGGTTTCGGCTTAATATTCATTTCAACACATACCCAAAGAAATAAATTTAACATATACTTGTATATGTAATCACAAAAGATCTGATGAGTTACCAACAAAACTTAAAGGTTCTGTTAAGGTGGCAATTGTTTTTTTAATTAGTTTCAGAGAGGAAGGGAGAGGGAGAGGGAGAAAGATAGAAAAATCAATGACAGAGAATTACTGGTCAAGCCAGCAACTCCAGCATGTGACCAGAATTGAACCTGGGACCCTTCAATCTACAGGCCGACAGTCTATCCACTGAGCCAAACCAGCCAGGGCATAGGTGGCAATTTTCACTTTCTGCCTCACACTTCACTAGTACTTTTATATGTGTGCATTTGAGAAAGTATACATTTTTTATATTAGATAAAAATATTCCCATTTAAAAAAATTTTTTTTTTCATATACAGAGATTTAGATGATCCCTGCTTTCCACAACTCTCAGATTAGCTGTATAAATATGCAATAAATTAGATAATGGTAATATGAAACAAGGTAATGAAAAGGAAAACTGAATTTTCTATCATATATCCAATAAAGAGAGATAGTTATGTTGGAGAAAACCAGCCACTTTAATTACCTCTTTTTTTAATGTTATAATGTTTTATTCAACTATTAATTACCATGTTCACCCAGGATCATCTGCTCAGTGTGGGAGATAAGGATGGTTACTTCAGTCCTGTGTGCTGCTACTACTTCAGGCCTGGGTTTAGACAGCATTTAGCTCTCTGATAAGGGGCTAAAGCCTGCAGTCCTATGTATATAGACTCTGCAGCCTTAGATTCTTTTAGGCTTGTGCTCAGTGTACACAAATGGCAGGAACTGTCTCAAAACCAAGCCATTTCATTAAGCAAAATGTTCCTAATTTTAAGAGACATTATGGGGGTATTTTAAATTAATTCAGAACATAAAAAAAAATACAACTTTTTTTTTCTCATTAATTTCAGAGAGGGAGAGATAGAAACAATGATGAGAGAAATCAGATTGGCTGCCTCCTGCACACACACACATACCCGCACTGAGGATGGAGCCTGCAACCTGGGCATGTGCCCTTTCCTGGAATCCTTCAGTCCACAGGCTGCCACTCTACCAACTGAGCCAAACTGGCTAGGGCCACAAATACAACTCTTGAGAACATCTGACACTGGCACTAACTGTGCTGATTGAGACACCAGACCTGGACTGTGTTGAAATTCTCTTTCTGCCATTTACTAGATACAACCAGGGAAAATGAAAATCTCTGACCACTCTTTTCTCATCTCTAAAATGGGGATAGCCAAAGTACCTAAATAATAGGACTGTATGAGAATCAAATTAGCTAAGAGAGGTAAACTGACTAAAAAAGAGCCTGGGATATACTTAGTGCTCAATAAATTTTCTATCCCCATCACCATCATCATCACCACCACCACCACCACCACCACCACCACCATCACCACCACCACCAACCACCACCATCACCATGTACAAAATCGATTGCTTTCCTGACACCAAAAACTGAAATATTTTCCAAAATCTAAGAGACGTAGAATTCAACCCTTAGAGAACCAATATCAGAAGTTTGTAAATAGACTGGTGATAACATTTATTTGGATTAGATAGATCTCTTTCCAGTATTTGTACTTGGTAACTTTTTAAAAATAGTAGTAACTACAAAAGAGAAGGTAAAATTTGGATAATTTTAAAGAACCAAGCTTCAAGGTCTGGCTCTGTGACAAGAATCTAGAAAGGGAGAATGAAAAAACAGCAATGAATAGGGGAAAGATGAAGGGGAAAAAAATGGAAACTTCTCCTTAGAGCCCCCTCTCATCTAGGCACATGCTCCAGAAAACTTTCTATAATATATCAACTTCCATTTCCATGTGACAACATCTGACTTCAAAGCTAAACTAAATTTTGTTACCCATCACTTTCAAACACTGCTATCACTAGAACTCATATACCTCTTAAGATACCATTCAAAATAACCCCAGGAATAGCTTAGTTATGTAAGGACACATCCACTTGTATACACATCTGTGTAGTTCCCATTTAAGAAACTAGTCTTTCTTCATTAATACAAAAAAACTTATTAATATTTTCATTAAATTTTTTACATATCCTATTATCCCCTCCCAAAATCAGGTTCTATAACCATTTAGGAAAAACAAAACAAACAACATCTCCCTCCAACCAAAAATACAAACCCTCAGAAGTTAGCATCTTTCTTTACATCCTTCCAAGAACACACTTTCGGAATAAAGATACCTACTTTTGTAGAGTATTGATTGTCTCTTACCTTAAAACAAGCCCCTTAAAAGATCCTTCTACTAATCATGTCTGGGAGTTGCTTTCAAATAATAGAGGGTGATGGAGCAGTTGGAGGGTGTAGGAGGAAATCATGGGGAGGGGAGAATAGACATGAAAAGAGATTGTCCATATATTGTTAACTGACGGGAGTTGTGCAATGGTTACATCAGGTTCCTTATACCATCTCCGTACTTTTGAATGTTTAGAAATTTCTATAGCAAAAAAAAAAAAAAAAATCTTAAAATATAACTAAGGTACTGGCCAGTGTGGCTCAGTTGGTTGGAGCACAGTCCTGTACCAAAACGTGGCAGTTCGATTCCCAGTCAGGGCACATAACCAGGTGTGGGTTCCATCCCTGGTCCTGTGCATACGGGAAACAACCAATCTATGTTTCTCTTTCTTTCCTTATCCTTCTCTTTTCAACTCTAAAATCAATAAACATATCCTCGAGTGAGGATTTTTAAAAAGTTTTAATAAAAAAATAATAACTGCCCAGAAGGTGTGACTCAGTGGTTGAGCATCAACCTATGAACCAGGTCACAGTTCAACACCCGGTCAGTGCCCAAATTGCAGGATCAACCCCCACTGGGGGGACAAGCAGGAGGTAGCTGATCAACGATTCTCTCTCATCATAAACATTCCCATCTCTCTCTCCTTCCTCCCTCTCTGAAATCAATATAAATATATATATGTATTTTTTTAATAACTAAGAAAATACATATACTGACAGGTTTACAATGCCACCTTTCACTACAAATTGACCCATCCTATTCAAGCCTCCTCAGAAACACACTGCTCTCATCCAAGGAACTTACCCACTATTCATAATCCAAACCAGGACAGACTTCTCAGGAGAGCCAATTAAAGAATGTTTCAAACATCATGCAACTTTTATCATAATATATTCCTCTCAGTGCTGGAAACATCCTCCCACTCAGCACCTACCTTCCTCTGAAATAATGTCAATTAACTACCCTATAAATTAACAAACTTCTAGCTTTCCATTGAACTAAATGCTCAAAAAGTATTTAATTACTATAACTAAGAAATCAAAGAAACACCAACTACTTTTGACCTGCGAGTCTGAAACAAAAACTGCATGGAAAGCTTAGGGTAAAAGAAAGTTGAAATGTTTTAATTAACTCAACTTGTCTGATTTCTTGTTAAGGGGGGGGGGGGGGGGGGGGAAAGAGTCATAAAAGTTCTAATACAGATTTAAAAGTTCAACTCTACAGCCCTGGCTGACATGGTACAATGGTTAGTGTGCCCACCCAAGGGCATACCTGAATTGCAGGTTGGATCCCAGGCCAGGTCAGGCCTCATGCTAATCAATGTGTGTCTCTCTCACATCGATGTTTCTCTCTCTCTCTTTCTCTTGTGTGTGTGTGAGTGTGTGTGTCTCCCCTCTCCCTTCATCTCTTCTAAAAAAGATAGAAAAAAATATCTTTGGGTGAGGGTTAACAAAAAAAAAAAATTCAACTCTGGAAAGCATCTTTAAGATGACATTAAAGTCTCTAGAAAATTTTAATCACCAGAATACACTAAATAAGATATGGTCATCTTTAATTTGTCTACCTCTTCCCACTCAAAAGTCCTATAGGGGAATGACCTTATCAGTTTTGTTCACCACTTACTAGTCTATTCCCATTGCCTGGAAAGTGTCTAGCCACCTAGCTGGTGCTCAATAACAACCTGTCAAAAAAATGAATCAATTAAGTTCTTCTTGAATAAGATTATTTCATTTATTAATTCAACCTAAATGACTTGAAGTACTCTCAAAAATAAATAAATAAAAGGTCAGTGGGATACAAGGCATCACAGCCTTCTACTTCAAAACCAGTAAATTCCATTCAACACTTGCTAAAACAATCTTCACTTCAAATAATACACAAAATATGCAGAGTGAAAGAGTGCTGAAAGTTAACATGGGTAAGGGGACAGGCGAATGGAAACTGGATCCCATCGTGGATGGGATTCACTGTTTTATTAGCAGAGGTGAGTTATTACTGATTTTCAGCAAATCAGTGGGGATAGGGTCATTGTACAAAGTTTATTCTCCTGTATACCAAAGTTTTCTAAGAGCGTAAGTTCTTCCCCTTTACCATTGCCAATTTTTCCCATTCAGCAAAAGAGTGCTCTGAATTCTACTGTGATAAAACTGAGTACATTAGGGCAGTTAAAATTCTCCAGCAAAAAGCAAGCCAAAGCATAGCGTCCTAATAACTTTTAGGTAAAAAATAATAATACCTGCCTTTAACTAGAATAAATTAGCATTTATTTGGTGTGGAGGCAGTATGTACTCAGTGATTCCTTTTAAGTTGTACCTGTTTATGACAAAGCACATCCAATTTCTAAGTTGAAAAACCACCAACATATTTACACAAACCTCACATTTACCAAATTAAGGTTTTCTATGTATCCTTCACGAGACTACAAGAACCAAAATGTTCATTTCATAAATTCAACTTGTGAAAGTTCCACTGAATAAAATATCCTAGAAATACTTACGCATCCTACGCAAATTAACAGATTTTTTTTTTATTTTGCAATACAGCATGCTCTGTCCGAGAAAATGTTTAAAAGGTGGCATTTGGCAAAACCTGACTCTCCCAATAAGTTAAGTTCAACAAACTTTTTCTAGCTCTAACTAAACTCATTTTTAGACTCAAAAAGCGCTAGTCTCTGATCAAAATGCCTACGAAACTTAATTTTTTCAAGTTTAAATAAAACAACTTCCATGAAGACAAATACTAGTTTGTTACTAATTTTTTCCCCCCTTTCTCTTCCATTCTGAACATCTGCAGAGCAGGGGGTACACTAACTGGAGGCTGCCATGGGGTATACTAACTGGAAGAAAAAGAAAGGGTGATTGATCTTGTGGAAAAGATTTAAGGTGACACTCGCAGAACTTTTTTCAAGGGACCAGGCAAAGGGAGACCTCTTGTTTGTACAAGCATTTAGCTTCCCACTTAGTTTTATGCTCGGGGAAATTACAGCCTGCTCGCTTAGGAGGAGAAGGGGCCGGAGGAGAAGCGAGCTGGAAGGCGGCAGCAGCAGCAGGTAGAGCGGCTCTGACGGAGGACAGAGTAGCCGGAGAAGAAAGGGGTGTATACCTGGTTCACAGCATCCGTGGTGATGGTGGTCAGTCTGGCAGTATTTGTCCCTTAAAGGCATTTTCAGTGGGCGCGACCTACTTTCCTTTCACTGTGAGCAGCTCTTCATTGCGGCTTGGCTGCGGAGAGAAGCACGAACCAGTCACTCACCCTGAACTTCCTGGGGGGCCCTTTCCAGCCGCGTTCCCTTCGCCCGCCCTCAGCGGCCGGTCCCTCCGCGGGCCGGTCCCTTCTCCTGGAACCGAAAGGGCCAAAACGCACCAAGGCTTCCCGGGTCCGGGTCCCCCGTCCTCCCCGGGTCCCGCGCCCTGCCTACCCGGAAACGCAGCCCGGGGCGCGCAGCGCAGGACGCAGCGCAGGACGCAGGCCCGGCCGGCTGCGCGGGCGGCAGCGGCGGCCTCCGGGCCCCGGAGGGCGGGCGGGCGCGCGCGCGGGGACCAGGCGCAGGGCGCGGCGGCACGGCCGGCGCCGGGGCCCGCGGGCGGCCGGGGGGGGGGCGCGGCGGCCGGGGCGGCCCAGAGGCTGCTCCGCCGCGGCCGGCGCCACGGCCTCCCACCTCGCACGTGCCTCCGGGGGTCTCCCGTCCCCACGAACCCGGTGCGCCCAACTTACACTCAACTCCGAGGGCGGGCGGGCCGGCGGGCAGGCGGAAGGAAGCCAGGCCGGGCGGCGGCGGCGGCGGGGACAGCCCGGCGTGGGAGGCGGCTCCGGCCCCACCTGGCGCGGCCTCCGCGGACCACGCGAGGGGACCCCGCGGGCCGGGGCCCGACGCGCTTCCACAGAGTCCCCGCGGGCGCCGACGCGGAAGCGCCGCAGCTCACCGCGTCCCCCGCGGCCCGAGGCGGCGGCTCCCGGCGTCCCTCCGCGCTGCGCGGCTGGCGGGCGGCGCGCGGGCGCAGACAGTTGACAGGAGGAACCGCCCGCAGCAGCAGCCGCCGCGGCCGCCGCCACCGAAGGAGCCGGAGGAGCCGGAACCGGAGCGGCCAAGACCGGAGCAGCGCCTCCCCGGCGCAACGGCTGCCGCCGACGCCGGCTCCCCGACGCCGCTCCACCTGCAACGGTCCGGCAGGCTCTGGAGAGGGGCGGGGAGGACGGCGCGTCTCCGCGGCCGCGGGCCTTTCCGAGCAGCAGTTGTTTCTGGAAACTTTACGGAGTCGGTCTCGCTCTTTCTCCGGCCAACCCCCTCCCCTCCCCGGAAAGCCCTGCGCTACCGCCGCGGAGCGGACCAGAAGGAGAAGCAGAGAGTCTCCGGCGGCGGCGGCGGCGGCGGCGGGGAGCGGCGGACTGACCCCGGACGGAGATGGGGCGAGGGCAGGAAGTGACAAGCTCGCCGAGTGGGTGGGGGGGAGTGTGGCCGGCACGCCCGCCCGGGAGCGCCGCGCGCATGCGCCCGCCCGAGGCCCCCCGGCGGCCGGGCGGCGGGGCGAGGCGGCCGGGCCCGGGAGGGACCCGCGGGGGACGAGGGCGGCCGGGTCGCCGCCGGGGCCTCGCGACCGGCCATTCGCCTCGCGCTTCCTCCCCGCGGGGCCGTCCGAGCCGGAGCCCGGGCTGCGCGCGGAGCGGAGAGGAGGAGAGGCCTGGGCGCCCGGGAGACGGGGCCGCCCGCGCAGCCGCCAAACTGTTGCTGTCGCCGTCCTCCTTCGAGTGGAACCGAAACGGCGGGAAGGGCTGGCACCTGCGTGCGCCGGGCGTGCGAGGTGCTGACCCCGAAAAGGGGGTCGGTCGGTACCTTTGGAAAATGGAAAACGTAGACCTGCCCTCCCGCCAGGCATTTTGGTCGTGTGCCTGCCTCTCCCGACGTGGGGGTTCCTCTCAGGCCCTCGGGAGGAGAGCAGGCCGGTCGGAGTGGACGCCGGCGCCGCGCGGGGGAACCCGAAAGTGGGGTTGGGTCACGTGGGCGGTGCGCACCCCTTCCCTCTTCGGCGACCGCATCCCGCCTCCCGCCTGGAAAATCCCGGGGAAGACCCGAGCTGTCAAATTGAGCAAACCTGCCTGGGAACCCGAGAGCCACTTCCTCCGCCTTCTGCCAACTCCCGGATTGGAAATCTTCAAGAAACGCGTGTCAGGAAATCTTGAAGGCGGAAAAAGTCTATTCACTTGGTGTATGCCCCGCCCTCGAAGTCCATTGCGAACCTTACACGTAGACGTCTGAGCTGGCCGTTTTCGGGGTCCTGAAAAGGCGAAGTTGAGCCCACAGGCCCGGCGTGCATTCTGGAAGAGTCCACGAGTGACCGAAGCCCACTGTCACAATCCAAAGGAGAGCTTGTAGCAGGCCCAGCCGTGGACACATTTGTCTTGAAAATATGGAATGGAGCATTTGCATTCGTCTTGGGGGGGATTGTAGCAGTTTGTGGGGTGACAGGAAAAGGATAGGAAAATTTAACTTTTTAAAAGGAAGTCCATATACTGTACCTTCTAAACACGCTAACCAGTGACATAGATAATATGTTTGCTTTTTTTCGTGTTTTTTTTTAAATGTTTTTATTGATTTGAGAGAAAGAGCAATCCATGAGAGAGAAATCATTGACTGCTTGCCTCATGCATGCCCCCTGTTGGGGGATTGAGCCTGCGCATGCCCTGACCAGGAATAGAACTACCCAGCCTGTGACCCTTTTAGTGCATGGGTTGGCACTCAACCAACTCAGCCACATTGGCCAAGGCGATTTTTTTTTTTCTGTTCCATTTTTAAGAAACATCACGCATCAAACTATAATGTAACGAAATGTCAATTTGTAAATTAATGTAAAATAAATTTTGAAATGTCCATATGGAGATGTTTGTTATACAGCCAATAAAAATCACATTTTATACAATATTTAATTGTATACAATATGCTTAAGCAAAAAATAGTGAAAGCCGAAACCGGTTTGGCTCAGTGGATAGAGTGTCGGCCTCTGGACTGAAAGGTCCCAGATTCGATTCCAGTCAAGGGCATGTACCTTGGTTGCGGGCACATCCCCAGCGGGGGGGGTGTGCAGGAGTCAACTGATCAATGTTTCTCATCGATTTTTCTAACTCTATCCCTCTCTCGTCCTCTCTATAAAAAATCAATAAAATATATTTTTTTTAAATAATAATGAAAAAGTTTCATGTGATAACTGGAATTATAAGTGATTTCTATTTGACATTGTATATCTTGGTAAAATTTGAAGTGAACTACTTCATTTTTGGAGGACTTTTCCTACTTTTATTTAATAAGCATTTTTATCACAAATTAAAGTTTTAATGTACATTTTAACTTTCTATAAACCTGAAAAGGCATTGCTTCAGATATGTGACTTATTAATATTTTCTATATATAAATAAAAATGTTTCCTGAGTAAATGCAGTGTTATTTTTACCTTCTAAGTAGTTCTGATGAGAGAGTTCGCCAAATTGCTTGCTAATAAAATAAGTTTTCAACCACTTTTGAAAATTTAGATAAGATGGGAATGTGCTTGTGGGTAAAACAGATGTTAAATGCTAAGTCATAGAATTTTATTTTTTAGGGAATTATTTATTTTGGACAGTATTTAGAGAAAAAAAATTTAGAACTGTTGGCCAGATACAAATAGCACTAAGTCAACCAAAGATAAAGCCTACTTCCATGGCGGTTTCGCATAGCAGTTAGATGCTCAGGTTCTAGAATCAAATAGATGTAGGGTTAAATACAAACTCCTCTCATTGGTGATGGGATCTTATTCTTTCTAGACTATGGCTTCCTCATCCGGAAAATGAGGATACTGTATTAGTTTCTAGTTCATGGACTTGAATGATTTAGGATTAACAAAGATAATATTTGTACATTGTCCTGCACATAATTGTACATAAATGTTCAATCATAGAATTTTAAAGAGGAAAAGAAACGATGGAAATTATCTAGTAAACCTTACTTCATAGGTGAGAAAACCAAAATCCAGAGAGATTAAGTGATTTGCCAAAGGTCACACTGAAACAGATCCATGTCTAGAATCTAAATTATTCTTTTAACATAGCAATACTTCTATTTGACATATGTTAATATGGCTTAAGCTTAAATATTAACCCATTGATGCTATCAACAATTCAATAAGGTATTTTTGCCCTTCATTCTATAAGTGGGGAAACTGAGACAAAGTAATTCATCAAGGTAAGTTACAGCTGATATACAGCTGAGCACACATTGAACCCCAGTATTATGGCTCTGGAACTCATGACCTTAGGCATTATGCTATATTTTGTGTACTCCATTGTCTACCCTATGCCATAGCTGTTTTTTATCACACTGTGTAGAAAGATGAGCCAGTAGATCCTGCCGGTTGGAAGATACTAAAATGCTATGTACAGCCCTCACCAGGTGGCTCAATTGGTTGGAGCATCGTCCAGTGCACTAAAAGGTGCAATTTTCATCAGGGCACAACCTAATGTTTCTCTCACATTGATGTTCCATCAATTTTTACAAAACCATTAAAAATGCTATGTACAAGTTCATGATGTGAAAATGGAGTTGCTCAAATCACAATTCTATTGGAATTTCGCAGGGCTTTAGAGTTTAAAGAGACTTTGACCATCATGTAGAATATTGCCCTACCTCTGAAAACACTGAGCACAAACCGTCCCAGAAAAATCATCTGTCCTCTTTTTTTCATGATGCACTGCAGCAACCATTGTGACACATTGCAGCTTTGAGGAGCTTTTTTTGATCCTTAATAGTTTAGAAGTACATCCCAATGATTGGTTAACCTAAGACTTCTACAGTTTAAAATTATTCTCTCATCAAGACAAGAGAATTCTAAAACAAACACACCACTGCAGCATAACAAGTTACCCTAGAATTAGCACCTTAAAGCCATTTTATGTGCTCTCAATTCTATAGATCAGTGATCTGGATTGGCAGTTACTTGAGTGGCATCACTTCCACCACATTTTGTTAGCCAAAGTAAACCAAACGGCCAGCACAGATTCAAGAATTGGGGAGGGAGATTCCCCTTCTTGATAGGAAGAACAACAAAAGTCATATTTCAAAGGGATATGGACATATATGAATGGGAAGACTTGTTGCATACAACTTGTCACAATATGTAATTACTTCCAAGAACAATAGTAGTTAATTAAAGCTACTGGTTTTTTTAATGCTTGCTTATGCCTTTAAAAACATCAAAACAAGAAATGCTAGTCAAACTTTAAGCTCAATTTGGTAGCCTTGTGTGGATAGCCTTTTGTGATTCCTTAACTTTGATCACTAGATTTCTTTTTATCATTTTTTTGCTTTCTGTAAGCTTTTTCCTACTTGTTCTAAACAGATTCCACTAAAACAGCAACAACAACAACAAAAAAAATCAAGTTGAAGTGATTATTGTTCCTAAAGAACATATATACGTTGGTCCAGATTTTGCTATTTTTTATTATAACATGGCATTTTACAACACAAATCATTAAATTCATAATTATGTACAAATAAAATTATGGACCACAAGAGAGTTTAAAAGGGGCCATAGAAATTTTTATTTAGGACAAATATTAAACTGTTGATCTATTATCAACTATTTAAAGCTTAACACCCAATAGTGTGCAAATAACATAAGAAAAAGAAGACAATGTTTTTCCCTAAAATGTTTATTTTTAAGAGGGAAGGGAGTAGTTGCCCCTGGGTTGCTACCTGGAGATAAGCTGCCCACTAGTAAACCCTGACATGGACTGTGTCTTCCATTCCTGGTGCTAAAGGCACACACACTTAGGTCTTGCTAGCCAGATGACAGTGCATGCACCATGCTGACATGTGGGTAAACCTTACAAATTTTCCATTCAGATAGCATTTAAGTGAATTCCATAATAAATGCTTTTCAGGTAAACATCTTTGGGAGGGGAGAGGGTTTGAAGGGATTGAGCAAAATAGAAAAAACAAACAAACAACAACAAAAAAAACTTGTGATGACTTTGGGGAGGAGGAAGTAGAAGAGGAGATTTGAATAAATGGTGATGGGAAAATAATAAATGAAAAATACTTTTTATTATAGTGGAATTGTAAGTAAACCTGTATTATAATTTTGTTGTTGAACTCAGACAATGGGCTAAGTGCTTTCTAGTTTTTCACTGAATCTTTACAAAGATTCTGTATTAGATATCCCATTTTACAAATGAGGAAACAGATCATTAGTGTCTGGGATAAAATTTAAATGCAGGTCTATCTGATTGCAGATCTTTTTGCCTCAAGTTATTTATTTATATATATATATTCTGATTATTTCTAAAATTTTATCTCCAGCTCAGACCTGTCCCTGATGTCTCTAAGCTCTATTTCTAACTACCCATGAGATAGACCATCTGAATTTCCTCAGCATCTCATAATTAGCTGGACCCAACTGGACTTACCTTCTCACCAAACCTGTTCTTCCTCTTCCAAAATCTAACCAACACTGTTGCTGTCTATTCAGGCTAGTAAGGGAGAAGCCTTGGGGTCAGAGAGGAGTGTATGCAAAGATGCAAAGTAATGTCAGTTACTTATGTACACGGTTTCTCTTCTCAGCCCAGCCTAACCTATCACCATAAATACTTGGTTAGACCTCAGAAAGGTATAGGAAATACAATTTCCTCTCTCCATATATACCATCCATCTTCTACTCCAAAACCTCCTTGCAATCACTACTTCTACCGTCTCCCTAAGACCAGTCTCCCCTTCACTCCATTATTCCACACTACCAACAGAATAATAATCAAAACAAATCAAATACTACTACTCTTCAATTTAAAATCCTTGTTGACCAATTTTCTACATGAAGAAAGTTAAATCTTAAGAAGCATTAGTAAAAAAAGAGTATGTGTTTTGTTGGGAGTCCAAAGAACTTGGGTGTTAGTCCTATCTTCATCACTCCTGAGTTCTGAGTCTTTAAGCAAGTGAGAAACTCTTGGGTCTCAGTTGCTTCAGCTGCATGCTACTTGCAGTGTTGGGAGAAATCAATTAATGAATAAAGCACCCAAAATAACCTAGAGCGCAGTACAGGGAATAATTATAATAAACACTTATGGTACCCGGCCCTCCCACACCTTCACAACTTGATGCACCAAACACACTGATTTCCCATCTTTTGCAGAAATCCTCAAAGCAAACAGTTAAATTGGGTGGGGAGTGTGGCCTACAAGGGAACTTTAGTTAGAGATGATAGGGTGTTAGTTATGTGGGTGTGTCCCTTGGTTGAAGCAACTATTAAAATAATAGAATAGTGGTTACCTTTGAAGGAAGGAGATGGTTGGGAAGTGTACTGGAGAGGAGTGCCAACTTTGGGGTTACTAGCCATTTTATAGATCTGGACATCAACTATCATTGCATATCCATTTGCTTGGTAATAATTCAATAAGCTGATAGTGGTGCACTTTTATAAATCTGTGTAATACTTTACAATAAAAATATTTTTAAATATAATAGTTAACTTAGGCTCTAATGCCTCTGAGCTAAATCTAGCATAAAATTAGAAATGACTATTGAACTGTACGAGGCTTTGCACATGCCACTCCTCCTGCCTGGAAATATCCTTCCCCTCCACCTGGAAAACTCTTACTCATTCTTCAAGACCCATTTCAGCTGTCGCTTCTGTGAAACTAGTTTCCACAGACAAATAATTGCTCCATCTCCCTGCTCCTGTTGTACCTCATCCTGATTAAATGCCCGACTCTCCCATTAGTTTGAATTTATCAAGAAACAGACCATAATTCATTCCTCTTTGTTTTATCATCATATAGCATACAACTGGGCACATAATAGGCAACCATTGAAAGTTACTGGATGGGATTAAATGAATACATTTTCATTTTAATTGGGCTAGAAGAAATACTGACAACATTCATTCTTTCAATGAACATAATAAGAAAACATGTAGGAAAAATAAATTCTAGTGGTTTGGTTTAGTTGGGCCCTTGGCCTAATAAAACATTCATTTTCTATGTAGAGAACAACTATACAAGGACAATGAAAGGAATGACTATTGTATAGAATTAATAATGCTATATAACATATACTATAACTGGACATTTAAAACTACTAATCATCCATCATGTAAAACCACTCATCATGATTTTGTTTTTGTTTTTATGAAGCTGGTTTTTTTTTAATTTGTTTGGTTTTCTTTAACTTACAATTCTGAAATAATTTAAAATTTAATAACAAATGGCAAGAATACAAATAATTTCCATACTCTACCCAGATTCACCATTTTTTTTTTAATTTTACATTTTGTCAGATTTGCATATATGTTCCCTCTCTCTCCCTTCTCTTTCTCTCACACATATATTTCTCTCTCCAAGTCCAAATACATTTGATTTTTTTTAACCATCTGAAGATGGGTTGCATATATCATCCCCCTTTATCCCTAATTACTTCAATGTGTATTTTCTGAAAGCAATGACATTATTCTTACATAAGAACAGTACAGTTATCAAATCCAAGAAATTTGCCCTAGCCGGTTTTGCTCAGTGGATAGAGTACTGACCCATGGACTTAAGTATCCTGGTTTTGATTCTGGTTAAGAGCATGTATTGCAGTTGCAGGCTCTATCCCAGACCCTGGTCAGGGTGCATGCAGGAAGCAACCAATTGATGTGTTTTTCTCACACCGATATTTCTCTCTGTCTCCCTCCCTCCTTTCCAATCTCTCTAAAAGCAGTGGGAAAATATCCTCAGGTGAAGATTAATAACAAAAAAAGAAATTTAATATTGATAGGATATTTTTGTTTAAATTTCAGTCTATATTATAATTTTGTCAGTTATACTGATAATGCCTGTTATGGATTTTTTTTTTTTTTTTTTTTTAGTCAATATAAGACCCAATGCAGTACCACATATTGCATTTAGTTGTCATGTCTATTTACTTTTGTTTAACCTGGAACCATTCTTCAGCTTTCTGTCGTCTTTTATGACAATAATATTTTGATTAATACAAGCCAGTTGTTTTGTAGAATGAGTTCATTTGGATTTGCCTAATGTTCTTCGTGATTACATGGTGTTTTTTTTAAAATATATATTTTATTGATTTTTTTTTTTTTTCAGAGAGGAAGGGAGAGAGAGAGTTAGAAACATCAATGAGAGAGAAACATTGATGGCTGCCTCCTGCACACCCCCTACTGGGGATATGCCCACCACCAAGGTACATGCCCTTGACCGGAATCAAACCTGGGACCCTTCAGTCCACAGGCTGATGGTCTATCCACTGAACCAAACTGGTTAGAGTTTATATGTTTTTAATGGAATGCAACATAAGTAATGTGATGTATTTCTTAGGATATGACAGCAAGAGACACGTAATATTTGTTATTAACTTTTTTATTGAGGTATAATTGACATGTAACATTATATTACTCTCAGATGCAAAACACAATGTTTCAAGATTTGTATATATTACAAACTTAGCAAATTCCAAATATACAATAGAGTATTAAAAACTATAGTCACCATGCTGCATATTACACCCCAGGATTGATTTATTTTATAGCCAGAAGTTTGTATATTTTTACCTCATTTACCCATTTCACCCAATCTCACCCCCTGCCTGTGGCAACCACCAATCTGCTGGCTGTGTCTATGAGCTCTGTTTTCTTTGACTTGGGGGTTTTGTTTTTTTAGATTTCACATGTAAGTGACACAAATATATTCTATGGTATTTGTCTTTGCCTGACTTATTTCACTTAGTGTAATACCCTCCAGGTTCATCCATGTTGTCTTATATGGCAAGATATCCTTCTTTTATGGATGAATAATATTTTATTTTATATACAGGGTGTCCCCCCCCCCTAAAAAAATGTACATATGCTTTACCAGCGGACAGCTCAATTTTGAAAATGAAATGTATTCTAATAAACATTGCCTGTATAATTATTCAAAGTGTGTATATACATTTTTGGGGACACAGTATATATTACATTATCCAATCATCCATTAAGGGACAGTTACGTTGCTTCCATGTGTTGGCTATTGTAAATAATGCTGCAATGTAGAGGGTGGGAAGTTAGTTATTTAAATCCATATCCTGATTGCTCTTTTTCTTATGTGATATCGAGCCTGTTAGTGGGACCAGTCCTACTCTACAAGGAGCCAGGGGCATTTATTTCTATTTATCTCTATTGCCTTCATGATGGATCAACTTCCTTTCTTAGGTTACATTTGCCTCCTTCCACCCCCATCTTCTTTTATTCCCACCTCACCTCCCCCTGCCAAGTTCCTATCCAATGCAAGAATTTGACTCCTTAAGACCAGATATTTTATATAAATAATGCCGCAATGAATATAGAGGTACAATTTTTTTCCATTCAAACGTTCCACTTTTTTCAAATAGAAATTGTACTAGTATATCTTGAATCTGAGAAATTTCTGGAATTAAGCATATGAAAGTAAGATGTATTTTATATAAAGTCAGGAACCTTGCTGGGTGCTTCATCAGATATTAAGCAAACTGTTTATAAAGCAATTTCAGTGATGTCATTGTCATTTAGTAAGGAAGGAGTTAGATGTGGTAAAATTTTTTGGAAAAGCACATCAGTAGTTTTCAGTTAAGAGAAAGCCCCGTGGGTTCCAGGGCGTGGAGATTCTTGGCAAGACCTGGGCTGCTAGACAGTACTAAATCGTCAAGTGACACCTTGACGCGAGCCCTGCTTTCAATGCCATAGTGTGACACTTCCTTCTGTGTCACTCTTTTTTTCTAACAAATGGCTTCCTTAAAAAGCGAGTCCAAGTTCGGTGTGTTTCTTACTGATAGGAGAGATGGTGTGCCCACACTCTCAGGAACAGCAGGTTCGTTTATGGGAACAAGGTTACTTTACATTTCTCAGAAAACTTTTTAAAAGAAACAGTTGCTATAGGATATTCAAAAATTCCCCCATCTATGTTAGTTCTCTTTTCTTAATCTCTTGTGAAACTGAGAACTATAGTACAATAAGGTGAGAGAGGATCTCATTGAAACTTCTCACTTTTAAATTCTTGTATTTACAGATTTGGAAGATTGTTTTAAACACACAATCCAGCTAGATGAATGAAGATGCAAAAATAATGCACAGATCATCTAGATTAATAAAACGATTGTTCAACTCAGGTGCTATATTTTATTTGGAAAATACCTGAGATATTTGTATTGCATCTAACTGTCCCTTAGGATTTTACTTCAAGAAAAACAAAACTCACATCTTCTTGGAATTAAAAAGAGTCTATTGAAATATCTTATAGTCTGTTTGTTCATCCCTACATCATCATCCTTGTGTTTAAAAGAGGGGGAGAGAGGGAGAATTCCAAGAACAATTTCAAAAGGTGGCAAGAGGAAAGGAATAGTAACTAATATTTGTTGAATTGCTACTCTAAACCAGACACCAGACTAGACACTTTACATTCATTAGCTAACTTAGTAGCAAAGCAAAACTATTAAAATAGCTTTTTGTTATCCTTCATATGTTTCCTAACCATGGATGTGAAAGAAATACATGTTCTCTTTGTTGTTGTTTTCTGTGACCTAGGAAAGAATCATTTTCTTCAACCTAAAAGCTCCGCCTCTGTATGAGAGTCAGAGAGGTGGTTGCAGAGTCATGGGAATTGCCGCTGACACTCCTGGCTATCCACAAGTCCAGTGTTAGGCAGGAACACAGTGGTTGCACATAAACCACAGCTCACACACTGGGTTCTGTCTGAACACTACACTACACCATGAAATACACTATACCATAAAAGAGATATACACAGAGGCACATGCACTGGGAGAATGACAGAAAAAGGAAGGGATCTGAAATCATATCCTAATTGGAGAGTTTGTACACAGCGGGAAATTACACCTAGCCAACGAAGGCCTCAAATTCATAAGGGGTGTTGATAGAAAAATGAAGTAGATGTGTTCTACCCATCCATGTTATGAGGAGATGAATTCCTATATTCTTGCAGGCCTAGTAAGAATTTTTTGTAGGGAAATGACTACTGCCTTCATAATAGTAGTTTACTACCAGGTTCCAAAACAGGGAGTAGAGGAATAATTCATCTACTCTTGGTATTCTTCTCAACTGACCAAATATACAATTGCTGAGGCAGGGAGAAGGCCAGCATATCTCATCTCCTCTCCTGTTTCAGGACCTCAGGATAAAGAGATGAGAATTTGTCCAAAAATCTTCCCACCCTCAATTCTGTCTTCACCCTTCTAGTTCACCAAAATGGGTGGACTTCATTTTATTTCTTACATACTTCAGTGATTCTCCCTAGGGCCGTGGTCGGCAAACTGCGGCTCCTGAGCCACATGAGGCTCTTTGGCCCTTGAGTGTGGCTCTTCCACAAAATACCACGCCCTGGGCGAGTCTATTTTGAAGAAGTAGCTTTAGAAGAAGTTTAAGTTTAAAAAATTTGGCTCTCAAAAGAAATTTCAATCGTTGTACTGTTGATATTTGGCTCTGTTGACTAATGAGTTGCTGACCACTGTCCTAGGAGATATTTTGAAACTCTGAGGAGGAATTACTGATTTTCACAATGATTGGGAGGTAAAACTAGCATTTAGTTGAGCTGGATTGAGGATACCAGATGTCTCACCCTATGCAACACTCTGCCTGATGTTTTTAAATAACATCTTCATTGAGATAAAATTTAAATACTACAAAATTCACATATTTAAAGTAGTATTCATTGGTTTTTAGTATATTCTGAGTTGTGCAACCATCACACAATCAATCTTAGAATGAATTTCATCACCCCATAAAGAAATCCTATACCCATTAGCAATCACTCCCCATTTTACATCAGCTACCTATCCCTAAGCAACCACAGACTACTTTCTGTCTCTATGAATTTGCTTATTCTGAACATTTTGTATAACTGAATGAGTACAACCTGTGGTCCTTTGTCTGACTTCTTTCATTCAGCATAATATTTTCAAAGTTCATCCATGCTGTACCATGCATCAGTACCTCATTTCTTTTCATGGCCAGATAATATTCTATTGCACAGATATACTACATTTCATTTATCTATTCACCAGTTGATGGATATTTGGGTTATTTCCATAATAGGGCTGCTAGAACATTCATATACAAGTTTTCATGTGGGCATCTGTTTTTTAATCTTTATTTTTGAAAGTATTATGTATGTCCCCTTGTTACCCCATTGACCCCTTCTAGCCCGCCACCATCCCTGCGGCAGGCCTCCACCACCCTTTGTCTGTCCCATGGGTTATGCATATATGGGATGAGGGGGAAGAGTTCTGGTTGAACTCTTCCCCCTCATCCCACCTTCCCTCTGAAATTCATCAGTCTGTTCCATGCTTCTATGTCTCTGGGTCTATTTTGTTCATTAGATTCCACATATGAATGTGATCACGTGATATTTGTATTTCTCTGACTGACTTATTTCACTTAGCATAATACTTTCCAAGTCTCTCCATGCTGTCTCAAAGGATTAGAGATCCTTCTTTTTTATTGCTGCATAGTATTCCATGGTGTAAATGTATCACATAGTTGTTGTTTTTTTAAT